GCTAATGATTTTTTTTTTTTTGCATTAACATTAAAATGTTTAAATGAATGCTATTGCAATAATTTATTGCATTATAATTATAACAAGCATTATAAACCCATTAACTAATTTTTTTTTTAAGTAAAAATTCTTTGCTGACATTGGGGGTAGAATTTGAAGGTCAAAAAAGATAGTGACGGACGTTAAAGCTGGTTTTCACGATGTCAAATTCAATTGCATTTGTCGTTAAAAAGGTAAAAACACATTGTCAAATGGAACTAAAAAACGGTTTATTGATTGATTTCGATCAGTGTACGTCTTCAGTCGTGCACATGTGCTGCTAAATTGACTATCTGTCCGCTTTTGGCCCATAATATGTATATGTAATCGGTATGCATCAACAATCAACATAAAAATCTGCAAATGCACACTGAGTTGCATGCACATTGCTTTTATTTTCATAAAACATCTAGCAATGTTTAAAAGAATTTTCCTGAAAATTCACATAATACATATAAGGAAGCTGAAAAAACTATTAGTAATTATTCTAAGTCCTTCCAAAAGAGGTTATTTATATATCACTTGAAAAAAAATAATGGTTTTTAATAATGCAAACGAGCAAAAGTATTAAAAATATTAGTGCATTAAAATTTTTTCATTAGCATTAGCTTGGATAATTTAATGAAAACAAATTTCATTAGCATTACATTTTCAGAATTAATGCGTTGAAATTTTTATTTGCATTACATTTCAAAAATTAATGCATAAATTTTTTGCATTAACATTATTGCTTCAAATACCGATAATGCGTAAAAAGATTAATGCATTTTTCACAACTCTGGCATGTAAATACATACCCCGTAGATAATTTCAGCCCTTTCGAAAGGCCTTCCTGAAAGTCAAGAGGCCTTTTACTTTACATTCCTTTCTCCTTTCTTTTTTATATGGAGTGGCACAAATTGAAGGACTTCTTCTTTCGGTACCTATGGAAGGCCGTCGAGAAGGGCTTTTATAGGACATACTTCAGAAGGCCCTTTGGAGGAGTTCTTTTAAAGTTGCTTCTGCAATTTATAAAAATCATACATCTTTGAAATACTTGCGTAAGGTTAATATTAAATATGTGTTATTGCAACTTAAAATATTTATTGAAATTAATTTTTAATGCTAAATAATATAAATTTATGCATTCGCGTAAATTGTAAATGTATAAGCCCTTCTAGGAGGCATGCAAGGAAGTTCTTTTTCAGTCCTTCTTGGGTAGGCCTCTTAGAATGGCTTTACTTAAGAAGGCCGACCTAAATTAATTTCTGTCATATTTATGTCCTACAATAATTTTGATCACCAGACATTTTCGGGTCAAAGTGCTGGTACGGCAAGAACAATACTAGTTGCGTTCCAGATGCTTCACGATATTCACGAAATTCACGATTTGCAGGAACAGCTGTTTTCCTCATTAATAAACATTATGGGAGGTGGTCATCTGAAACGACTTCCTGTAAAAACCTGCAAGTATGTTTAAATTCATTTTTAATGCTAAATATCATAAGCTTATACTTCGCGAAGATTGTAAATATAAAAACCCCTTCAAGAATTCTTGCAGGGAAGCACTCTCTTCATCCCTTCTTGGGTAGGCCTGTTAGAATGGGCTTCACTTAAGGCCTACCTAAATTATCTTCTGGTTATGGTTGCTATTGCACTCCGATTACTAATGCAGCCTTTTCAACCTAGAACTTTTTAAATCATCGGAATTAAATATATTGTGTAAAAAACCTCTACCTACTTTTTCCTTAGCAAATCATTCGAATTTATTAATTTTTAATTTTAACGAACTTTTTTATTCAAATTATCCTAACAAATAGTTTGTTTCAGTACACTAGGACATAGTAAGAAATAGTATGAAATTACAGGAAGTCGTTCCCGTATGCAAGAACTTCTCTCCCTGGAATCACTTTTGAGCGAGTAAGAGAGCAACTCTTCCCAGTCATAAATTACAGGATTTTGCCCGAAGTTTTTCTTCCAGCAAGCTCATGAAAAGTGTCAAACGATAGGCAGGATAAGCATTTGTAAACAAAAACAGAACGCAGTACAAGCAAAAATGGAAGTAAACAACGAAATATTTGAATATGTACGGAATGAGTGAGAGAAATTACTGCGTACGGGAATGACTTCCTGTAATTTCATAGTCAGGGTATTCATCTAAACTCGTAAATGCCTCGAAACTGTATAAACCTCGTAAACTTTTTTAATTTCGTATAGAAATCCGGTTTATTTTCGAGGTTTACACATTTACGAAGCATTTACGTGTAAAGCTTAGTATCCAGCTCTTAAGAAAAGCAAAAAGTCCATATAAAATGACGTACAAGAAATGGTTAAGAAATTTTCTTGAGTCAAATTTCCTTAAGGCAGTACGCAGTTCTTCAGAAATTTAGTACGCTTTCTACTACGGTTTTCTAAAGTTTTTTGTGAAAAAAGAGCACAAGGCAACCCAGGTTTGCAACAGAAATATATGCCCGTTCCATTATTTCTTGAGGAAAGAGTGAAGGCTCTGTTATGCATACTTGGCATTGCTTGAGAGTTGTCACATAAGGAATCTGTTAAATGAGCTTCGCGTGTAAGCGGTTACCCAACGCACAGCATTACATACGTAAAAGTCTGTTGGTTTTTGATTTCTACGTAAAAATGGTATAGCAGTGCATGCAATGCCAAGTATGCATAACAGAGCCTTGAGGCAACAGGCTGTGAGGTATAAAAAATATTAAAATTCCTTGGACACACACACGAAATAATGGCAATTTTTTCTCGACCGTTTTCTTAAGAGCTGGATACTAAGCTTTTAGATGAATACCCTGACTACTTGGGCTTGTTCGAGTTGCAATCACAACCGCAGTGTTGCGCGAATTATTAAAGTATCGTGTTCTGTGTGAATTTCTAGCAATGTATTATCAGTTGGGCAGTTGCAACAATGTTGCCATTTTTCATCAGTACGGCAGTAATGCCGCTTTTATTACGTGCCTCGAACAGGCCCCTTCTTACTATGTCCTAGTGTACTGGAACAAACTAATAGTTCGTATCAATCATTTGCATCACGAACAGAACTACTATTTGCTGGTTTTGAGTTTGTGTATTTTCTTGCATGTTTCTCAAATTGGGAGCAAATGTTGGCTTACGTTCCAAAGTTGGGTTACTGGTAAGTTACTAGATAGTGGAGTCCGGCCGAGTAATCGGCATCGGCCTTTTTTTCGCCGATTCTTTGCCGATTATTTGAAATATCTTTTCATACGTTCAGGTGAAGCGACAGAGAACAGCCAACATCAAAAAACATTTGCAGGCAGCTCACAAAAATGTATACCAAAATTCTGATTAAAAAGTTTGAAATTTTCATGAAAATAAGCAGAATTTTTCTAATTTTTTCAAACTTTGTAATCTGAATTTATATGGTGTTTGTTGTATACCAAGGATCGAAAATCTATTATTTTCAAAATTTCAATTTAAAAAGTCAGTCGGAAATAATCGGTCTTTTTAACATTTGTATATAGCAATGTGATCCTGGTTAGCCAAGGAATGTTAATCCTATATGATTTATTTTTTTTTTTTCAAAAAAATCAGCAATTAAAGTAAAAGTTAAATTATGACTTATTTTTTTCAGTCAAATATAATAGTTAAAATTTTACTTTTTTTTCGGTCAAAAATAAAAGTTAAAAATTTAGTTTACATAATGTACATAAATGTGATATTTAGTTTAGTTTATTTAGCTTCTTGGTATTTTTTCCAGTTCACAATTATAGTAATTTCACATTTGTTACGTATGATATTATTTTATGCAATATTTTCCTTAATATAATCGATCTATCAATATGTATGTACATATATTTTTATACATACATACATTGTTTGTGGTGCTTTTAGGGCCGTTTTCACCATCTCTGGTTAACACTAAGCTCCAGTTAAACAACGTTACCGACGTTACTGACTCCATACATATAACATTGGGTCAATAACGTCGTTAACGATATTTAACTGGAGATAAGTGTTAACCAGAGATGGTGAACACGACCATTAGAGTTGCAATTAACAAAATAAACCCATTTAAATATATAATAAGATGGAAAATACTATTTTTCTTAGAAAATTGCGTCGGAAGATAAAAAATTAATCAGCTGTTAATAAAACTTGCAACTTCTTGCTGGTTTTGCGTTTTCATAATCTCCGAAATTTGGTTACTGGCAAATTACTGGGTATTTTTTGCTGGAGAATACGAAAACGCAACTATAATAGTTATCGGATACGCGAATGCAACTATTATCAGTTATAAAATATACAAATATTCTATGGAAGTGAGTAGTTAGTCCACAGTAGCGATATATCGCTTGCAATAGTTTATCGCTGATAGTGATGATGTAGACTTTGTAGGGGAAGGCACAGCGATCGTGACTACCTACATATGCTTGAAATGTAGATGGCGCCAAAAATGTATACTTGTAGATCCTCTGCAGCATACTTCACTCATTTCATTTTAGAACACATGTGATTGAAACTAAAATTAGAAACCAAACTACTGTAGGCGTATACAAGAAGGTAATAAATTCTTAAAATGGGTTTGATAACGGCGTCGTGATTATTTTCATAACAATTTAATAAAGCTACGATATATGTACGTTACATAACAATATATTTTATGTTACTTTCAATAGGTTCTTTCAGGAGATACTGTTGTGATTCGAGCCCAAAAAGGTGCGCCACCTCCGGAGAAACAAATCACTTTCTCGTATGTTCTCGCTCCTAAGCTGGCCCGTCGTCCAGGTGCAGGTGGTGATGAAACAAAAGATGAACCCTGGGCTTGGGAGTCGCGTGAATTTCTACGGAAGAAACTAATTGGTGAAGAAGTCTTATTCTCATTTGAGAAGCCTGCCAATTCCAATCGTGAGTATGGTTTTGTCTGGCTTGGAAAAGATGCCGAAACCGGAGAGAATATGGTCGAAACTATGGTACGCGAAGGTTTCGTGACCGTCCGTCGCGAGGGCAGACCATCTAGCGAACTTCAACGCCTCATCGAGCTAGAAGATCAAGCTAAGTCGGCAAATAGGGGCAAGTGGTCACATGTGCCACCTGTAGAAAAAGTCCGTCATATTAAATGGACACAGGAGAACCCCGCTCACTTAGTTGAATATTATGGTGGAAAGCCTGTAAAAGCAATTATTGAACATGTCCGAGATGGATCGACGGTTCGTGCCTTCTTGCTGCCCGAATTCCAATACATAACTTTGATGATTTCGGGTATACGTTGCCCAGGAGTTAAACTTGATGCAGATGGCAAGCCAGATCTGAGTGTGAAAATTCCATTTGCCGACGAGGCAAGATTCTTTGTGGAGTCGCGTTTATTGCAACGTGATGTAGAAATCCGCCTAGAGTCCGTAAATAACTCAAATTTTATTGGCACGATTATATTTCCAAAAGGAAACATTGCCGAATCTTTGCTGCGCGAGGGCTTGGCTAAATGTGTTGACTGGTCAATGGCAGTCATGAAGAGCGGTAAGTTTTGAAATATTCATCATAGTGCTTTGTGTGTAAATTTTTGGAATGATGAAGTCATAATAAGGTGTAATTGGTAGCCACGTGTTTGCCGTAATTTAGATAAAAGAAAGGCAGTGCTGCCAATCCCGTTGAAAAAAGTAGGCGTGGCCGGCCCCTTTTTAAAGATTTTAATGGTATACAATTTTTGGGTTGGAGTAAGAATGAAATTTTTGAAATATTACAAAGCTTATATATCGAAAAATATTGAGCTGATATGGTTGGAAAGGTAATTAAAATATCTTCATCTAATATAAATGCTTATATATAAATTACAGTTTATTAAATAAAATGAATATTTTTCTTAGAAAAATACATTGTTAACTACATACATATATACTGAAATATGTTTATTTAAAAGAGCATAAAAATACCTTTAATTCGATATATAATTTTTATATAGTTAGTTGCCTGTAGTGTAGTGCTTAGCAGTGCGCGCTATGGATTCAAGGCCGGTTCCACCCGCCTTAAAAAAAAAAAAAAATCCAATAGCGGTCGCCCCTCGGCAGGCAATGACAAACCTCCGAGTGCCAATCTATTATTATTTAATATTTTTTTCGATCTACCAATATCACCTTGTATGAATTCGCCTTGTCCAATATGCATGCACGACTTAACTTTCCGACTGCTCATACATACATATACATATTTACATATCGGCGCCTGGGTAAAAGTTTGTCGTATGTTAATTTCGGCAGGTTGTGGGAAATCGCGATTGAAATTTGGAATACAGTGGGCTTGTTCGAGTAGCAATCACAACCGCAGTGTTGCGTGAATTATTAAAGAATCACGTTCTGTGTGAATTTCCAGCAATGTATTTTCAGTTGGGCAGTTTCAACAGTGCTACCATTTTTCATCAGTACGGCAGTATTGCCGCTTTTATTAAGTGCCTCGAACAGGCCAAATTTCTCAAAAATGCGAACATATATTTTCTCCGAAGTCTCTGCAAATGTTACTAGTTCACAAAATTCTTAAATTATTCGATTTTTAATGTGTTATTAGTTTTGAGTTTATGAAGGATTTTCTTTAGTAAAATTTTGTCGTAAGCGTCATTTGTCCACAATTTGGCAGCCACTTTGTATGAAATACGACAAAATGTGATCAAAATTTCTACTAAATTAACGACACTTTTTACTCAATATCTCGGAAACTAAAGGAGATATCCAAAAATGGAGAATGCCATTTTTAAGATATTGATTGGTTTAATATGGCTGCATCACTAACTAAAATTTTACTTAATTATAGAAAAAATTGTAGTCAATATCTCGGAAACTAAAGGAGATATCTGAAAACTGATACTTCATCTAGAACTAAAAATCGTCAAAATGGCGCTTACGACAATCTTTTACCCAGGCGACGATATGTATTCCGCAGTGGTGTGGTAAGCAGTGCGCGCTTCCACTCCGCAGGGCCTGGGTTCAAGCCCTGGTCAAAGCAACAGCGAGTGCTTTATAAAAAAAAGAACCATTTCCACCAAACTCATTTATGCAACATCACATACGCGGTTTTGTACTTTAAACGACGAAATGTATGTATGTATGTACTTAAAAGTCGCGCATTACAATGTGTTACTTGTGCAGTTTTTTGCTATGTCATTAATATGCTCTTGCTTAACATAATGTGATGCGAAATCAAATAGACGGAATCCAAGATGTTGATGCTTTTAAAAAGTTAAGCGACAAGATCATTTCACCCCGTCAACATATAAACATATCTACTATAATTCAACTATTTTGTATTGACAGCAAAGCATAATCAGGGAGGTTCTGCAATTCACTTCCGAGTGAATTTGAGTCGGATTCGCGTAGAATTCAAATTGACAGGGATTGAAATTCACTCGGAAGTGAATTGTAGAACCTGCCTGAATATTTTGATATAAGCTTACAAATTTGTACAATGTTCTCTAAACTAACGCCACTCTATGTCCTACATAGGTGCCGATAAGTTGCGTGCTGCCGAACGAACTGCTAAGGAGAAACGTCTGCGCTTGTGGCAAGATTACCAATCAAAGGCACCCACTGTGAATGCCAAGGAAAAGGATTTCACCGGTACAGTTGTAGAAGTTTTTAATGGAGATGCCATAAGCGTGCGTTTGTCAAATGGCCAAGTCAAAAAGGTATTCTTTTCTTCGATTCGACCACCACGTGACAATCGTTCTGTCGTCGGTGCTGATGGTGAGGTTGTGCTGCCTCCACGCGGCAAGAACTACCGCCCACTTTATGAGATTCCTTTCATGTTTGAAGCACGTGAATTTTTGCGCAAGAAACTCATCAATAAGAAAGTCCAATGCAATTTGGATTACATTTCGCCTGCACGCGATAATTTCCCTGAGAAGTATTGCTATACCGTATTAGTCGGCGGACAAAATGTGGCTGAGGCTATGGTCGCAAAGGGTTTGGGCCACTGCGTACGTCATCGGCAAGACGATGATCAGCGCTCTTCTGTATATGATCAGCTGTTGGCTGCCGAAAGCCAAGCCATCAAGGGCCAAAAGGGCATATTTGGTAAAAAGGATAATGCGCCATTGCGTATCAATGACCTGACTGTGGATCATTCCCGTATCAAAGTACAGTATCTACCATCTTGGCAACGGGCACTACGAACCGAAGGTATTGTTGAGTTTGTCGCTAGTGGTTCACGTTTGCGTTTATACGTGCCCAAGGATAGTTGTTTGGTAACATTCCTGCTCGCTGGTATTTCATGTCCGCGTTCCTCTCGTCCGGCATTAAACGGTGTTCCCGCTCAAGATGGCGAGCCTTATGGTGAGGAGGCGCTAGCCTTCACGCGTGACCGCGTTCTACAAAGGGATGTGTCGGTACATATTGATACCACCGACAAGGCTGGATCTTCTGTTATTGGTTGGCTTTGGACTGATAGCAATGTAAACTTGTCAGTCGCATTGGTTGAGGAAGGCCTCGCTGAAGTACATTTTAGCGCTGAGAAATCTGAATATTACCGTCAACTAAAGAATGCCGAAGATCGTGCAAAGGCAGCCAAGAAGAATATATGGGCAAATTACGTAGAACAGGTCGTGGAAGAGAAGCCGGTTGTTGTTGAAGAAGAGAAAGATGAAAAGGCACCCGTGGAACGTAAGGTGAACTATGAAGATGTTATTGTTACCGAGATTACAGCCGATTTGACATTCTTTGCGCAAGCCGTAGAGAATGGCGCGAAATTGGAAGCGATGATGGCCAAGTTGCACGCAGATTTCCAAGCGAACCCGCCAATAGTTGGCGCTTACACGGCGAAGCGAGGTGACGTTTGCGCAGCACAATTCTCTGCCGACAACCAGTGGTACCGAGCCAAGGTGGAGCGTGTACAAGGCAATAATGCTACTGTACTCTACATCGACTATGGAAACAAGGAGGTAAGTTTCGCAGAACCGGTTGTTGTAACGGCTACTCAGCCCTGCCTAAATCCTATAAACATATTTGCATAAGTCTCCTGTGGCAAGCTCCTTAGATCCGTTACCGTTTCAAAGCGTAACGCATGAGTCATAAGCTTGCAAAATCAAAAAGCGAGAAGAACGAGCATATTTGTTATACATTGCTTGATTAATGCTTGTCATAAGCATAAACTCCATCGTCAATATGGCTGTAGCGTATTTGATTTGGATCGCTGGACACGGTTGATAGCGCAAAAACAATATTTTTTTGTTATATTGTGTCTTAATGCCGTAGAAAGTGAAACAATTTTAACGCTAATGGCAGATAATAGAGGATCAAAATATGTGTATGGCTAGCTCATTTTTTACGCAACACTACCATATCTAATATTTTATTCTTTGTCATATTTGTTCTTTTTTTTTGTTATCTATTATGCTCACAAACTAAGGTTATTTTAATATTTTTAGACTGTGCCTACAAATCGTTTGGCATCCCTGCCTTCTGGTTTTACCAGCGATAGGCCGTACGCCACCGAGTACGCGCTCGCTTTGGTTCAGCTTCCCTCCGATAATGAAGACAAGGAAGAGGCTCTTCGCTTGTTTGCCGAAGACGTGCTTAACCGCACTGTTAAACTAAATGTGGAACTAAAACCTGCAACTGGGCCGGCATTAGCAACTGTGCATGATGCAGCCACCAATGCCGATATTGGTAAACAATTGGTAGCTGACGGTTATGTGTTAGCCGAGAAACGTCGTGAACGTAAGCTAAAAGATTTGGTGGAGCAGTACAGAGCAGCCCAGCAAACTGCATTGGCTGCGCATTTGGGCATCTGGAAATATGGTGACATCACCCAAGATGATGCGCCTGAATTCAGCCGCTAAAACGGACGTGCGCGATAGCGTTTTAAATGTTTGTCTGCCACATACCCGCCCTTCAAAACAACAACATTCATAGTTACATGCATACATACATGAAAGAGATAATGATGAAATTAAACTGAGGTATAGTAAGAAGAAAAACAGTAAAATGACGAGAACTGATTTAAAAAACACTATAGTTGAATAAACAACTAGTAGAGATTCATCAAGTAAATGAAGTAATAGGAAGAACCCAGAATATACATACATGTACACTATATATGTACACTTCAAAAGCGACGCAGTTGTGCATTTAAAATTAAGACAAAAACTTCTTTGTACACAGTGCAACAACGTCGACAATAAATACACTCCACAGCTGGACTTAAAGATCAATGTCTTATATTGCCAATGTAGAAGTATCTAGACGAGCTTCGCATTTAAATACATAACTTCCATGGCCACGAAAATTGTAAAACAAATAAATAAAATCCAAAATTTTTTTATGACAAATTGTTCTATTATGGTATGTCTAATATCCTAAAGCTTCCCTATGGAAATCGGAAACAATTAAAAGAAGTATAGAAGGAGAATTGAAAAATTTAAATACCATGCTGCGCACTCACGTCTATTATTGCTTATGTATGCTGTTAAATCTTAAAAAATATAAGCAGTTTGACGTTTAACTACAAAACTATTAAAAAACCATTTAACATTTATGATTATATATTTTTCTTTGCTATAATTTTTCATTAAAAAATTGAGAACATGCTTTTATGAATTCAATTCATTGTTTTTTCTAAATAATCTTTAAATCAATAAATTACAAATACAGCCAATCTATATTATGCAATATAAAAATAAAAATATTAAATAAAAGCACATTAGGTAGAGGGTTAGTGTGGGTTAAGTCCTAAATGTAAAAAAAAACACAAAGCATCTCTTTTATTTCTAAACCTTAGTAGATTGTATTGTCAAATGTGCGCAACCACGGTTAGATGATAGTTTTCAACTAGGTTGCGCCGATTAACCTTTTCTTCTAGTGCGATTCGGAAATAAAAAAGGTTTTTCCTTTGTATTTTTAACCGACTTCAAAAAAGGTTGACGTTATCAATTCGTCAGAATATTTTTGTTTATTGTTGCCGCATAACTTTGGACCATGTTAACCGATTTCTATTTCTTTTTTTTTTTTTAAGGAAAGGTGGTACTCAGGTGGTCCCATACTAATTTGGCTTAGATCCGATAATTGAATCATGCAAGAATTAACGGTACTCTTAAAATTTTATATGAGAATTGAAGTCGGTTTTGTTTTTTGCTTAAAAATTACTTGTTACATTTAGGGCTTCACCCTGTGGAACTAAGTTTCTTCAACTTTAAGTTCAGAAATGAAATCTGAGTCTTTCTTTTACTGCGATTCGAAAAGTAAAGAAATCATCGTGCTCTATTCGCGTTAGGTGCATTCAATATAAAAAAATGTTTACGAATTGTTACTAGTACTTGGCAAGTTCTTACTGGAAATGCATTCAATAACCCAAAATATTTGCAAGAGATTGCGAATTCGAGAACGTAACTCGAGAGAGCTGCAAAATCTTGCAAGTAACAATTTTACTAGCAGGAATTTGCAGGAGTCAAAAGGTAAGGTTATGTTTTAAATTCAAATGTAAACAAACTGTTTAAGAGAATGATTTGATGAAACATAAGGTGTGTACTCGTATTGAGAGGACAAAATTCTCCAACAGCAAAAGTTCTGAGAATTTAGCAGCATTCGCTCTCAAATAGACGAAATATCAACAGAAGTACGAGAACGCAAAATTTGCAAAAACTTGCAACCTTCGAAACAGCTGACCACTTGCACAGTGGCCCTTGTGATTAATTTGGCAATTCATTTTCTACTTGGTACATTTTCCCCAGATTAGGCATTTTATACAATTGAATAGTTTTGGATAAGAAAAACCTTTTTAAAATACAGATTAATTATATCGGAATGAATAAGTTATTTTTCTCATAATTATTTGTGATATCACATGGTGACGCATTCAAAAACAAGAGTATCTCCTCCATACACCCATCACTGATCAAAAAAAATGTAATAGATATAGCTACAGATGAAGCTTTAAAATTATAAAATTTTCATTTCAACAATCAACCTACCAAAACCGAAAACTTCAGAAAAAAAAAACATTTAGCATGCTGCATTTAAGTATATTTTGGTATATTTAAACGAAAATTATGGTACAAACGAAAAATGTCATACGGCAACCATAGTCAGCACACAAAAGTTAGTAAATTTAATAAGCACAACATTTGTTGAGTTTATTTTTCGTTAATTTGCTATTAATCTCCAGTTTGTTTACTTGCAGAAATTTGCAGCTCTCTTTCACATTTTGCTCTCTCAATTTCCCCTACTTTGCAAGTTTTTTGGGTACGAGAACGCAAAACCAGTAAAAGTTTGGAACAAATGCACAATACCTACAAATCTCGAATTAAAAAAAAAAAATAGGATCGATGGAGACCATTGAGGTGAACATAACGGTATATTTATTTTTTTTGGGGAGGGAAACAACAACTACAACAATTATTAAAGGTCAAAGTTCAAGTTAAGCATTTTCTTAAATTAATATTTCTCGAAAACCTCTTCAAGGAATTGGACAATTTTGATGTCATTTGATAGAGAATTTAATTCTTTCTTTGATATACATATTTATACATATATCTTTTTATAGTTTTCACAAAAATCGAATTAATGTGGAAAAAAAGTATACAGGGTTTTTGTGTATAAACTTCTTTTTGCGTAGGCGGCCTTCGGCCGCACTTATGAATTATAACCCTCACAAATTAGAATTCTCTTTCTGTGTTGCGAAGAAAAGGCGCTGAACACCTTTTGCAGAGAACACCTTTCTGCGTAGGCGGCCTTCGGCCGCGCTTATGGATTATAACCCTCACAAAGTAGAATTCTTTTCTGTGTTGCGAAGAAAAGGCACTGAACAGCTTTTTTTATATATATGTATATCAAATTAAATTATCTACCAAATGACCTAAAAATTTTCCAAATCCTTGAAGAGGTTTTCGAGAAATATTAATTTTAAAAAATGCTTAATTTAAACTTTGACCTTTAATAATTGTTGTTGTTGATTCCCAAAAAAATATATATATATGGTTACGCTCACCTCAATGATCTTCATCGATCCCAATACGATTTTTTTTAATTTGAGAATTGTAGGTATTCTACATTTATGCCAAAAGTTTACTAAAACTTTAGATAGTTGGGCGTACGAGTACACTCCTATAATTAGTGAAATGAAATGTGAAAACTTTAAATCTATTGAATATTTTTTTATGACGATGGGAACTATTCATAATTAAAAAGTAAATTGCGCGCCAACACTTAACCTATAGAAAGGGACAAAAGTTGCAAGTTTTTACTAGTTTTGCGTTAATAACTTTCTGAAAATTTTCTCTTGCTCTGAATTTTACTCTCCAATTTTCTATCACGCTCTCGCTGCAAGTACTTACTGGAAAAGTTATTGAATTGACCTATTGTATCGTAAGCGGCACTGTAAGTTGCATTCAATTTTCGATCTTCGCTTGTTATCGAAGCTGCACTTGTTGCATAGAGTGATTTTCCCTTGGATTTCAAGGTTTTTGCTGTTGTTGTTGTAAGAGCATACAAATTCCCCAAAGAGTTTTTGGGGAGTGTTACTGGAGTGACAGTCCTTGGCCAGATATAAATCTGGGTCGTTCCGGTAACCGTAGACCCGACAGTTATGGGTCATTCTCAGAACATAATTTAGGTAGGCCTTCTTAAGTAAAGCCATTCTAAGAGGCCTTTTTAAGTGAGCAAGAAAGTAAGTAAAAATAATTGAAAAAAGGTTTTCTGAGGCAATGGCAAACCTCCGCGTTTATTTCTACCATAAAAAACTGCTTTTCATAAAAATACAACCGTCATGCGGAGTCGGCGTAAAACGGTAGGTCCCTCTTTGTGTGACAACATCAAGGCGCACGCTACAAATCGGAGGAGAAGCTCAGCCAAACACTAACATATGTGTAAGCGTCAATCTATTATTATTATTAAGATAAATAAGGAGAGCGGTCAGTTAACAGAGCCAACTAAATTTAACGGACTGAGCATTTTGATCAATATATTGCGCACCGTCTTCAAAAGAGTCAACTCAAAATAATACGTTCGTCAGAAAATGCGAAAAACTATTTCGTAGCACATGCTACTCATATGGGCAACGGGGACTTTACCTTAGGTTTTCTTTTAACAAATTAAAACAAATTTGCTCCAGCTTTTGCTGAAAGGTAAATAAAGCTCTGTACATTTTTAGCGCATAATTTCAAAAATGCTAAATTTTGAGTTACGACTCTTTTGTCGTTTTAGAAAATGAAACACTGAAGACAATCTGCATTTTCTTGAGCAAATGAATTTATCTTTATTTCATAAAGTTATGAATTAGCATACATAACCCAGTGGGAATTAAGAGCACGTAATAATACCTTATTAGCAACTTACTCTTCACCTGGCAGTCATTACCATTTCCCTGCCGAACGTCCCTTACTTTTACAAAGGCATGGCCGCCTTATGTAAGTAGGAATTTAGAATGTACATTTGGTATCAGAGATACTTCTGAGCCGCTTTACAAAGTAAGTTACGTGTAATGCAGAGCAGTCGCTCGGAGTAGTTCTGTGCTTGGAAATAACTTCGGCTGCACGTTATTTTGCAACTGACAACGTAATGTGTCTTCGGAGGTGTTCATTTTGCCCTTTACTAGTAGATGACATTGGTCATGATGACAATTTTGGTACTAAAAACTGAAAGAAAACATGGCTTACCTCGCAAGGTGCTTACCTATTTTCCCAGTGGGAAAAAATCATCTTCAAATGTATGTGTAAAGGCTCAGTTCGTGTCATCGACACGAGACCGATTAGAGAATTACCCTAGTTATCTAATGTAGAAATCAAAACTTCTCTAGCGTTAGAGACTGTGTTTGCCGGGCATAACTTTGTACAATATTTCACAGTTGTATATGGTTATAGCGAACAATCAAAACTCAACAAATGCATCAATAATCGTTTACCGAGCTGCAAAGAGAACTTGAGGCATTTTTCCCTCCTTTGCTATGCTCTGTTAGCCATAATTTTAATGTGTTTGGCCCACCTTGATACCAATACCCCTAGACCATTTAAGGAATTAATTTATATTTTAAATTGCATTGCCATCGTTATTGGAACTATGCTGAACGTTTCAAGTCTAGCTTGCCGGGAAGTTAATTTAAAAGCTTGTAAAAATAGCAGGTTTTCAGCTTTTTCTTTTATAATTTTATTCGCAGAAAATAATACCAATATTTGTAAAGAACTTGCCATTTGATAATCGTAAAGCAACAAGCATAAGTGCCTAAAATAATGTATAACCTGCGGAGTCGGAACTCGAATTTTCTTTTCTCTTCTGCAGGGAAAATTCTTTTCATTGAAAATTTGAACTTAAGACTTTTTCTCGAAAAAAAAAATAAATCTCCGAGAAATCGTCGGCAATATTTGGAATTGGTCTATATGTATATGTATTATACGCAGATAAAGAAACGTCTTCTCAGTGTAGAATTAACTCACATGAAATTGTTGAAGTTAACTGACTGAATGATTCTGAGGGACACATGTGGGGCTGGGTTAGCTCCAAACTGCTTTTACCCTGTGGTCGTGCATATAAAATGTATAGAAATTG